ATTACCAGAAATATCTAGGCATGTACATGTTGGGAACTTGGGAATCATTATATTCCTAAAGAAAAAGAAAAATGAATATTTTTCATGTCTAATGTTACAAAACATCAAAAGGCAAATATTGCTTAATGAATGTTCCCAAGACAGGAAATCCTTCAGCATGCTGTAGGAATGGACCTCAAATCTTGGGAAAGCATAGTATACACCACTGTTCTCCCCTTTGGAATGGGGACCAAGACCAGGACCTCTGGGTGTAATGGGAAGCCTCTGCCCTATCCCACCCCATCATTCCCAGGAAGCCCTCCCAGCATTCCAGTTAACAACCTCTGTAGTCACTTAATGACCACGACTGGGAGAGTTAGGATTGTCATCATGGAGCAAAGGGGCGACATGGTGTTTGCTTAACAACTGTTTCACTCAACAACTGAAATTGGGCCCAATTCTGATTCAAAGTGAAGGATTACCTGTAAAGTCCTAAAGTTTCAGTCTGTTTAGTAACTGTTCAAAGCTGGTGGCTTTACATTTTATACTAAGCCATCATCTCTATGGTTTTGGCATGCCACAGTATAGACATCATATGTTTTACATGTCTGTTAATAGTTCTGGAAAATGTAAGCGGAATACCAAAGTTGTCTTTTACAAATGTTTTAAAATGCCCCAAATATCCTATGATAATGTTAAGATATTTGAAAACAAAATAAGCTCTTATGTCACTTTAATTGGTATGAATCTAAGTGACTTCATATCAAATTAGAAAGAATATGCAGGATCAGAAAGGTAATAACATTCAAATCTTAGAAGATTCTGATTGATTGATTGATTGATTGATTGATTGGTTGATTGGTTGATTGATTGATTGATTGATGTGACAGCATGTTGTTTGAGGAATGACATATGATTTAAAATATTAAGCTTCACAAGTAAGCTAAGAAAGCTAAGAAAATAGTTATTTTTCTATATGATCTTATTTTTTTCTAGAGGAAACCCTTGTGAAACAATATTGAAGCCATTTCATTGTTCTACCATTAACAGGTTATGAGATTTCTGGACTAGAAAATCTACCAAAAGAACCAGCAATCCTTGTTTATTACCATGGACCCATACCAATAGACCACTATTTTTTTATCCATAAGATTTTAAGACTTACTGGGAAACCCTTCTATTCTGTAATGGATCATATTGTTTTTCATCTACCAGGTAAAAAAATACTATAAAAATACTGTAAGTTTAGTTCTAATTATTTTCAAAAGATATTGATTCACTGACTTGGGAAGTCCAATTTTTCTTCTTCAAAGACTTAGATGAATTATCATGGTGGAAATATGTCTATTTGGTTTTCTTTTACAAGGAAGAACAGAATGATTTCATAGGTCTGCTTTTGCAGGATTACATATGTGCCGCTTATTCCATTACGCTGTTCATCCTACAAGAGAAAAGAGCGTAAACATTCTGAAACAAGGACACCAGCTGATGGTTTCACCAGGAGGACTGCGAGAGCAGAACTATGGAAATAACCGCTACAAGATAATATGGTGGAACAGGAAAGGATTTGCTCATATAGCTATAGATGCAAAAGTGGTGAGCCATTTATCATTACATTATTTTCCTAGTGTTGCTGTTAATTGCAATATGTATTTCTAAATGCCATGTTTCAATTTCATATCATTTATTTATTTATTTATTTGCCTATCTGCAAATGTACAGGAAGGCAGATGCAACCACCAATCAGATTTGACAGGTCAGGAAATGGCAAATCTGTCCTCTGTAATGCTCCATAAATTTGGTTTCTTTATTCATTCTTCTATTATCTCTAGAACACTGCCACCTTCATATAATATTTATGGAATTTGTTTTCTTTGATGACATTTTCCATTCATGCAGTGACTTCCTCTTCTAATTGCAATATTATTTTCTCTTCTTTTTCTTTTTGTAATTCACATGCTAGCTATATCCCTAGTTCATCTATACACTCCATTTTCACTGCTACCATAGATTTAATAAATAAAATGAAAAATAAATAAAATGAAAAATTGCCATTGTAAAGGCTTAATTTGTTGAGGAATACTTATCTTCTCTGGAATCTTCTTTCCTGTTTGGTTTTTCCAAAATAGGTTGTATTCTCTACTGACTCTTCTTTTTAAGTTCATATTATGTTATATTGTGACTTTAGAAATCCTTTTAGCCAAGTTCTTTGAAATTCAAATCATGTATATTCCTGAGAAGAATCTATATTTCTCAGAAAAATAAATATACTCTTTTGAATTGCCAGTTTTTTCTGCCTCCATATATCAATCAGACTTAAGTTCTCCATAAAATCAAAGAAAACTTTTGGCAATTTGCCTTGAGTGATTTTATGATGTTCTGTTCAATTGTGGTGAGATCACTCTATTCTAACCCCTTATTTAACACCAATTTTTACAAGAGAAAGAGATTGATCTCTCCATGTGTCAATATTTTCTCATTGTTTGTATCATAAATTCCGTTGAAAGTCTTTGTCCCATATCAAATGGACTTCCACCCCCAAATCTATCATAGTCATCAGTCAATATAAAGTTACTTTAGCTTGTGATGAGATTAAAAATAACACAAAGGAGATAAAAGAATAATTTCATAATTTAAAGCTGCAAACTCAGAAAATATCTACAGAGAAGGAACTAGCAACCCAGAAAATAGAAGTAAAACCAGAGAATGCTGACACAAATATGGAGCATCTAAAGGAAGGAACTAATGGCCAAACTCAGACAAATGAAGACTTAGAAGACACAACAATAATATTGGAAATGGAAAAGACATTCTACCAACCAAGATTTCAGAACATACTGGAGGATAAGGAAGGAGAGCCAATGGAATGGAAGATAGAACTGTTAACATAATTGTGGGGAACTGGAGAAGGAAGGAGACCGTTTAATGAATATCAATGGGCTAGTTCTTCCAAAAATACTTTAACTAAATTGTTTCTCTTGTTCCAAATAACGTACACAAAAATAGAGGAAGAATTATTTGATGATCCAAATGCATTGACCTGGAAAGTTAGTTGGCAAGGAAGAAAGCTAGAATAAGACTGAAGAAAACAGAAGTTTTGACCTATTAGTGGGGATTATATTACTAATTAGATGTTTGAATATGGTTAAGAATAGATTACTAGAAATAGAAGCACTATTATAACTAGATAGATAGGATTTGTAATCAGAATATCATATCTTGGTATGAAAAGGGAAATAAGAATATGCTAAGAAGTTTGAATAAGGGAAGCTTTTGGTTACCCAAATATAATTGTTCTGAAATTATAAATGATTAGGATATTTTGAACATGGATGGAAAATTAAAATTGAAAAAAAAGAGAAAGTAGGATATGGATTGAATAAATGGGTATTGAGTGCAAATCCAATTAAGATATGTTTTGGTTAGAAAAGATATTCTAAAATGATATCATTGTTACTATTAGAAAATTGTAACAAATGTTGATATTCAACTGTATATTTACTAACAACAATAAAAATTGTATTTGCTTAGTATGGAAAAATGTCTATTACCAGAAGAAGGTGTAATTTGGGTTTAGTTTGAAGAAGCTTATATGTACCACGGAATTACTAATGGACTCAGTCAACAGGTTGCCTATTAAGCACTTGATTGTAAAAATAGAAAATTAATAAAATATTTTTTTTAAAAAAAGAAATGAGGCTTGTGTGAATTTTCCATCCATATATGAAAAATTACGGTAGTAATCCTGACTGTATTGTCTCAAAGCCCATCCGCTCAGCTCATAAGCCAACCACAAAAACTTCAGTCCTTACAGTCTATTCATAAGAAGCAGCTGTCAGGAGTGCAAGTTGGCATCTCATAATATCTCCTGTTTCTGGAGAATCTTTGCAGCCTCAATTTGCCATCTGATATAGATTTGTAGATGAAATATGCAATATACTCTGATTTACTTCTCTTCCACGAAGGAATAACCTATTCCCCACCAAAATCTTAAATAAAAGATGGTTCACACTTTTATGTCACTTTCCTAGAATGAACTATGAAAGAGGAAGTGGCAGTTGGAAAGTTCATCCACGATGATCCGTCTCCTACACTGAACAGCAAAACCCAGCATTTGCCCAAGGATGCTGACTGAGATTAGATGCATGAAAATTCAGCACTAAAGAAAGAATGAAGGATAGTTCAGCATGTTAGAAACTGAGTTCAAACTACATTTAGTAGGATAATGCAGCTGTTGCAGTGTTTAAAATCTCAGAAGAAAATATCTGATAGGAGGTCAAAAGATGCAATGACCTTAGCAACATATATTATCCACATTAGGTTCTCAAAGATCTATTTTATGTCCAAACAATACATTTCATTTATTCATGTACAGTGACTAAAATAGTCTCATTATTTGTTTCTTTTATTTCTTCTAGCCAATCATCCCTGTATTTACACAAAATATTAGAGAAGGATATGTAACATTTGGAAATATAAGTAAGTAAAACTTTATGTAATCTCAGGAATGTTATTACTTTTAAGGCTATAAATCTATGCATCTGCATCTTTTCCTGCCATTTTTAATTTCAATGATACTGTAACTCAAGCAGCAATAGCTAAACCTGGGCTATAAATATTTTAAAAATATAATTGATGTAGTTTAATTTGGGAGTATGTACATTTAATACTTTTTATGAAGATCATTTAAAGAACAACAAATGATAAAAGACTGTCTAATCTCTTTTCATCTTTCATCAAAATGCTGAATGAATATATAGATATATGAATATGAAATATATGAAAATATCTAACTCTGAGTTCTACAGAACCTCAGAGCTTTGCTAGAAAACCTGATTCAATACATTTCCTATAATTGACATAAGATCATGGGATTATATGGACACAAGGCTTACCCAGAAATTGCAGAAATTACTGTAAATTCATTGTGCTTATTCTGGAAACTGTCTGTCTGTCTGTCTGTCTGTCTGTTTGTCTGTCTGTCTGTTTACTTATCCATCATCCTGCAATTTATCAGTATTCTGGGATCTGTGTGTGTGTTTACATGTCTGGATTAGCCTGCTTTTCTAAACTCTAATTTTCAAACCTTTGTAAAATCTAACCTAAACTTTGAAAATTGTAAGGCCCAAATATGATAGCTTATTCTCTTCTCTTTCAACTAGAAAACCTTTACATTAGTAACTTCTGATACCGCTACTAAAAATTGCTAGTTTTTGAATATAGGTCTCTAACAAAGACTAATATGAAACTTTGCATTTTGCTAAAATTGTTTCTGAGATTTTCTAAATCTTGTACACAGGACCAATGAGATGGTTATATGAGCGAACCCGATGGATTACCTTTCCATTATATGGAATGTTTCCAGTTAAACTTATAAGCCATATTGGAAAACCAATTCCATATGATCCAGATATAACTCCTGAAAAATTAGCTGAAAAAGTAAGTGTATTCTATTGTAAGGGAAAAATATACATTCAGATTAACACTTTGTTCATGAAATTATAACTCTATAGTAACAGATTGTAAAAGTTATTGAAATACATTACCTAGATTTACATAAGTATAGTTGAGTGTTTGGTACATAACTGTCAGTGTAAGACTATCGGCCATCCATCTATCCCTCCATCCTTACATTCATCCATCAGTGTTTAAATATCACTTATTTAAATTACTCAACTTGGCTAACTGTAAGCTTAAATGAAAACATCAATCAAATAACTATCATACTAAAGCCCTAAGAACTTTAGTTGCAAACAACTCCAACTTCTTGGTAGCAGCTTCACATAGAATACATGAAAACATTTTGAGAAATAACAAAGGCAGGAGTTACTGTTTGAACACCTAGTCCAAGAATAGGTACAGCTTTTGTAGACTGTTTAGGGCACAGCTACAATCTCCTGTTTGAGCAGAAGCTATGAGTCCAGGAATACCCCAAATTGCATACCAACTTTTTCTGGGTGACCGCAACCACGTCAAGATTAGTAGTTAGAAATTTCATGTAATCAGATGGTTTCAATATAATAATAAATTTGTCTTCCTTGGATTCAACTCTTATCCTTCCAGTCCTTCACAAATCCAAGTACCAGTCAAAACTTCCAGATATCTCCTGTTCAGTCTGTAATGCTGGTAAATATCACTACATTAATGATACGAGTTAAATGACAAAATGATTCAACTCAGTCACATTTATAGCTTTTTTATACCACTTAGAGTACCCTTCTATATTTTGTGACTCTTTATTTCTCTGACCAATAGAATGGAGCATTTTCTCCTTAGAGAAAAAATGGGTTGGATACGATATGCCAGAGGGAAGGTCAGCTGCAAAAGCCTAGGGTCACACAGCCTACAAAGCCATACTCCAGTTCATTTACTTTGGGATTTGCACGTTCTGAGAAATCAGATATTGTAGCATTTAAACTGAGGTTCATGTTTTTCAAGAAAAAGCTGAATCCAGACAATAGTGGTTTATTCAACAAGCCACAGTTAGGAGCAAATTAAATAAAAGGTATCTAACTTCTATTCTGTTTTTTTAATTATACTACTGAATGTAGGCAGAGAGGTAGTTCTACACCATCTATTTTAATGTACTATATGGTTTAACCCAACGGAAAATTGTGCTTTATCTGATTATGTACAGTATGGCATCAGTAGGAATAGAAAAAAAATCTTTGCCATAACTCTTTTAGTTCTGAAATGTTCTCTCTATAATGCCGAAACATAAATCTAATTATACCACCTTTTTTTCTTTCTTTTCCCCATCCCATCCCATGTCATCCCACTCCACCTTTCTAACAGACTCAAAGGGCAATGGAGGCTTTACGGGACAAACATCAGAAAATCCCAGGAAGTATATTGCAGGCTCTTAGGCAACGCTTTGAGACACATAACAAAGATAAACAGTGATATAACAACAATAATATCTGTAAATAATATATATGTGTGTGTGGATAATATATTTGTATATGTAGTACATGTTTTCTCGGAGGCACTTTTCTTAAAAAAAATGAAGAGGCAAGATTGAGATGGGGAAGAATATCTGTTTATTTCAATGTGTTTAAATGAAGGGTCAGATGAAAGAATATATGTGCAGATGAGGCCCTGGGAATCATAAGAAGGGTCCTATGTGGAGATAGGACCCAGGTGTGGGTGTGATGGACATGAGAGTGAGGAAGATGAATTGTGAGAGAAACATTTACTCTTAGACAATTACACAACTTTTTCTTTGCAGTACAAGCTTCCTAACGACATACTTGATAGCATTGCAAGGAGGGCTGGGAGAGGGTTGAGTGGGGGAGTGAGGGAGGGGGCTACAAGAGCAATGAAGTGAGACAGATTCACAAGTTCATCTGTCAGAAACCACTTAGCCAGGATGTTGGGTACATGAATAGATCACTTACAAGAAAACCCAAAACCATATAGCTGGCACAGAAAACTAGACATGACATTTAGCTATTTTACATAGCAAGCAAGAAAGCTTTAGGGGGCTGCAATCCAGGTAACCAATCAATATTATGTATTATGCATGTATTATTAGGGGGAGGGCAAAGGGGTGTATTGGGAGGGCGAATCACCTTTGATTATAAAAACTGCTGTAAAACTGTAATTGGGGCCTTGGTAGTTTTCAGAGCCAGGGCTACTTTCATCTTGGTACCAAAATAAAAGTCTTTTTTGTTCCACATCTTGTGTTTGGTGCTCAATTGGCTTCAACACCAAGTTAAGACCCAGTTTTGGGGACAACAAAATCTCCAACATGAGACTAAATTTCACACTCTTATGAATTATGTTTGAGAAATCCTGGTCACATCACACTTGTGTCAGAAGCATTGAGGTGCTCCCGGATTGAAAGGATTAGGGGAAGAGATCACCCGGGATGCCCAGTTGGGGGTTCTTTTCATATTCCTGGTCTTGAATGTGGGCTTGCTAACCTCCAATCCAGCCTCCTAACCATGAGAGCCATGATGCTCTGAGGAATCCCAGTGAACTGCAGATGACTGGAGGAGATCTACTGTTATTCCTATCTTCAAAAAGGAGGAAAAGGAAAATGCAACAAGATATAAACCAGTCACTCCGACTTCAATACTCTGGACAGTTTTAGAGTACACACTGTGAACATAAAAAGATTTATCATTAAACATAATTACCACAAACCTGATTTGCCTTATCTATTTTTTTCACACAGTAGACTGTAAGAATTTTGTAAAGATATCTTGATATTTTTTTTACCAAGCAGCTGGCAGAGTAATTCACTCTGACTAGCATGTTATTAATATATAGCTGCATGGAGACTAACTTGAAAAAATGTCCATCACTCATTAAACTTGAGTGAAATATTGAGCAGGAACTAACTAGATTTAATTGGGAGTCCTGTACTTTTCTCTGTATTATACAAACTGGATAGGAAAATTATTACCTAGAAGACATAAACAGATTTCACAACAATAATAAGGTACAAAAATAGCTGAAAATGAAATTTAGTAGATATTACTATAAATGAATGCAGTTAAGGAACAGAATTCATAATCACAGCATACCTGACACAGTAATAGTAATTAATTCTAAAAATGGGGTGTGTGGGCAGATAGTACTTGGTTGCAAACTGACTCTAACACAAAAGAAAGCAAATGCAGTTTCAATTTACTTTTATTAAAGTATAGCTTCACATTTTTTCCCTCTCAACCCAATTCACTTTCTGGGAAAATAGCATGCAGTAATATTCACTGCGTTGAATTATATATTAAAAAGTTGGCATAAACAATGAATGCAAAATACCCATCAGGTTTGGAACTGCTTATATTCTTAGATGTTACCTTAATTGTTCTTAGGTTCTTGGTTAGGACTTTAACTGCTAGGTTTCACCAGTCTTAGACAATCGATGTAACTGTAGATTAACTCCATATAAGAAGAATTAGAATTGAAAAACAAAAAGAGTTGGATAAGATCACATAGTATCAAGTATTGAAAATTGAAGTTGAAAGATTATGGCATAAACTGGGTGCCATTCCCAAAAATCTTGAAGGACACTTAATAAATCTGAGCATTGGCAATGTTTCCAGCTGTCAATTACACAATGCCACACTGCTTTCATCTGCACATCATGTATATTACACAATACATTCTGGCATCCTAGGTTCTAGGGAAGAACTTGATGCGTATGAAGGCCAATAAAAGCTAAAGAACTGCAGGGGTGATTTCAAATTGCCGTGTATATAATAGCAACTATAGCCAAGAAGATCAGCAGATACAAAGCTCAAATTGTACACTATAGGCAAAATCTCTAATTTCAGCCTTATAAGAAAATTTTCTACCCATTCATTAATGGAGATATTGTCACTCAAATTATGACTAAGCCTGTGGTAAGTGGTAGGGACCTGCTCTTGTTTCTTGTTTATTTTACTATGAGCACACAGGGAGCTGAATCCTGATGATGACCACCACATACATATAGTAGCTTAAATTCTGTCATCCAGAACACTGCTAATATCCCCTGCTCTGCATTGGCATTTCTACAAAGGGAACAATAACCAAATTCAGCATGCTGCAAAGCATTTGCCTGTGAAAGTGAGTGGAGAGGTCATTCCCTTTACTCTGGTCCCAAACAAGCTTGTCTGTGCTTGCTCTTTGATTAAAAGAATTAAGAATTAACATATACTGTCCTTGTGACTGCTGCATGCTATACATTTTTATAAAATAGCTGATTTAATGTGAGAAATGTGATAGAACTTATTGATGACGTACAGTGTATTTCTCAGAGTGCCAGGGTTCTAGTGTTCCCTAGTGTTTTTGGACTTGGCTTGGTCTAGGATAAGTCACATTTTCCCAACTGAAACTATGGTTAATTCTGTCCATATGTTGTAAAAGTAAAGAATTTTCATCATGTTTTCAGGCTGCTAGTTGGTGCTCAGGGATGCTTCCTGCCAGTCTTCTGCCTGCTGGTCCTACATAATGGTTGTTGCATTACATTATATGATGTAGCTGACTCCTGTTTTTTCTTCTGGGGCTTCTGGGTCATTTGGTTTACTTAGTATGTTTTGAAGGACTTTAGTTGGCTTGTGTGCTATGCGGTTTTCATGTGGTTGTATCAGTCTATGGGTGGTTTGATGAAATTGGTGATATTCTTGGTATATAGCAGTGTAATTATTTTTAGGGTTTGTGTTGGTTCTGCTGCATTGGGTTGAGTGGTCAGGCATTTCTTATAAAGTTTTGTGGATACTTTGGAGTATGTTGTATGGATACTCTACTTCCTTTTTCTGCTGTTCCAGGTTGCTACAGTGAGTTTGAGCTCATCTAAATAAAATCCTTATACACCTTCTCTTGTGGGAGGTTGGGTTGTTATTTTGGTATACAGCACTTGTTTAGTATAGGTGGTTTTTCTCTATACTTGTGTTTCTAGTTTGCCATTGTGGTCTCTGCTGGTCCAGGAAAGGTAGTAAGTTGTTTTCTTCTTCTAGATTATGGAAGTGCTATGCTTCTAGATTTTACATGACCAAGGTAATATACTTACAGTATTTGGCCATTTAAGCCATGTGCTCTATATAGAAAAGAAATTATAGGATTTGATGAGGCAAGCAGAATCTCAGATATATCCCTGGATATTGCATAAACCTGGAGATTAATGACTAGATATTTGGAACATACCGTGCTCCACCATGATGTCCTAATACATTAAACATAATGTAAAACTATGTATTGGGATCCAGAAAATATTTGTAGAACACAACCTGAGAAATCTAGATGGTAGTCTAATCTCTGGTTTACTTATAGCACAACTTCTGTTCTGTGGCTACATGCTGATTACAGAATCAGTGGTAGAGAGAAAGACCAATTCTTCATGCCATACCAAACTATCCTGGCTGTTAGTACAAGATGTAGCCTTCGGAAAAGTAATTAACATAATTAGTGCTGCACAAAAGAATTAGATAAAATAGAATGCTATTTTATTCAAAGTGCAGAACTAAGCATAGATCAAAACTGGAGTAAATGGGAAGAGGACTATTGACTTTCTGTAGCCAATCACAATTTTCTGCAATGTAATATAAAAATATGGGTATATTTTTCTGTGGGTACCAAAATTGTTAGCAAAGCTGACATGATTTCAGATATGTGTGAAAGGTATTTGAATTTATTTCTAAACTTGAATGTGAAATGTGTGAATGTGTCAGATTGATAAGGAGGAGCTACTATTACTGGAAGCTCAATGACTTATGAAATTAAGGTTTCCAAGTCTGAGGCTAACAAGGATGCTTCATTACTGTTGGCTGAACTACTACAATATCAGGCGATCATTCTCAGATTAGTTATTTCTCTACAAATTAACCTCTGCTGGTTCCCTTTGATGGAACTTCTAAAATCCATATGCAGTAGTTATGGTTAGGAAAACATATCATTAGTATTTTACAATTAATATCTCTGTGGTGAAATTCTTTGCCACAGGGAGTAACAATGGTCATTTCCAAATATTGTGAAAGAAGAACATATGAATATTTCATCCTACCAAATAAATAAATAAATAAAAACAATAATAATAATAATACAAATACTTGGGTATCCTTCAAGCTGACAACATCAAGCACAAGATTAGAGGTGAATACATCAAGAGAGTGAAGAAGATCTTAAAGTCCAAACTCAATGGAGGAAATACCATGAAGGCAATCAACAACTGGGCAATTCCAGTCATTAGATACATAGCTGGAATAGTGGACTGGACTCAAGCAGAACTAAAAGCAATGGATAGGAAGACCAGAAAAATAATGATAATGAATCATGCCCTTCATCTACACAGTGACATTGACAGACTCTATCTACCAAGACAAATAGGTGAGCATGGAATGCTGCAAATACATCAGATGGTTGAAGAAGAAAAAATGGCTTTGGAAGAATATCTGAAGGACAATGATGAAGATGCA